CTTTGCCCCGGGGTGATTCTCACCCTCCAGGATCGGCAGCATCAGGCTGCTGCAACTCGCTTCAGCTTGCAACCGCCGTCCCCCCCCCATCCCTTGTAAACGCCGTGCACCCCCTCAGGGCCAGACAAGGCATTGCCCGCGCTCCCTCTGGCGCCTGGCTTCTGAGCCGAGGGAACCTCTCGGGACGGGGGGAGGTAGGCTGCGATTCTGTGATCTCTTTTCCTGAGCCAGGCCTGGGCCTTGTTTTGCAGAACCTCCAGGGCAGCTTCCAGGCACAGATGGGACGTCTCTGCAAGGCGGCGCTGGAGGAGCTGAAGCAGATGAACTCTCAGAACGCCAAAGGGAAGCTGCAGGTGCCAAGCCAAAATTCGGGGCCTTGCTGGGTTTGTTCCCGTTAGGGGGAGGAATTGCTGCTCCTACTCGGATCTAGCCTCAGGGCAATCTATAGGGATGCAGTGCCTGGAACAGGAGAGAAATAAACAGCAGCACTGCCCAGAAATTCCCATGCCTGCCTCTCCAGGGGGCTCTGTGCCCAAGAAGCTGCTCTCCTAGGTTCCTAGGCTAGACGGGACCATTGTGATCATCTAGTCTGACCTCCCAGGCAGCAATGTCAATTGCAGGAGAACTTGTCTTTCCTTTCAGGGGGATTGTGGGAAGGCAGTGGAGAACTAGCAATCTGGGAATGGGGGGCGCGGCAGGTGATCAGGCACTGTGCACCAACACCCCCCACGTTTGCTTGGCCAGGGCTTCTTGGACATTCTGGAGAAGCAGATAAATCTGGTCGGGCAGCAGAGCGAGAACGTGGAGCGGAGACACCGGATTGCGACGGAGCTGATGGCCATAGTGGAGAAGCTGCTGAGAACGCTGGCCCTGACCCTGCCTGACAGCACGATCAGCATCGCATCCCCCAACGGCACAGGTCAGCACCTGGCCACGTGGCCCCAGTTGGGCTTTCATCACCCACAGCCTACGCTCCCGCCCCACTCCCCACAGTGCCCCCTGCTGGGAGACGGGAGCTACCCCCACAGCCAGTTCTCCCGCCCCACTCCCCAGAGCGCCCCCCCCACAGCCAGTGTTCCTGCCCTGCTCCCCAAAGCGCCCCCTGCTGGGAGAGGATGGGACTGGAGTAGCTAGGATCCCTCTCTGCAGCCAGGAAAGCACCTTGCCTGGCTACAGGCTTCCTCTCCATGTCTCTGTTGTGAGCCCTGGCTGGCATTGTGGTTGCAGAGCTGGGGCTGGTGGTCAGGCAGGCTGGGAACCAGAGCCAGGAGACCGTGACGCTGCAGCAGAGCAAGACACAGATGGAATTAAAGTGGGCCAGAGCCCCAGGACAGAAAAATGAAGGTATGTGATCATCACCTGTGCTGGGGTGTGTATAGCGATGGGCACGGCCAGGGCATTGGGAGCAGCAGCACAGCACCCTTTGGTGCCAGGCTGGGGTGTGAAGGGGGACAGAGCACGGCCAGGGCATTGGGGCCGGCACCCCCAGCAGTCCAGTGCCCCCTAGTGCCAGTCTGGGATGTGTATAGCGATGGGACAATGCCACGGCATTGGGGGCAGCATCCCCAGCAGCACAGCACCCCCAGCAGCACAGCACCAGTCTGCCCCAAGGCCCCTCCTGCCCCCTATTTCATCCGTCTCCTCTGTCTCTCGCAGGCTTCACGCTGGCCGGGCTGCTGACATACCAGGGGATGAGCCCCATCCTGGACGGTGCTGGGCGGGTGGAGGTGCCCGAGTGGGACGAGATCGGCCAGACGGGGAAGTGGTCGCAGGAGCCCGGGCGGCCCAGCTACCGTGTGCTGTCTCTGGTGGTGTCGGCCTTCATCAGTGACCCGAACCCCCAGGCACGCGGCCTCTCCGTCAGCATCCGCTTCAGCCACCCGGTGCCGGTGAGCCCCTGGGCTGGGCATGGCGGGAGGAGAGCCTGGGGCGCTAGGGGGCAGAGCCTGAGGCTATCTCTAGTAACACCCCCCCACCCCAGGCAGCAGGCGAATCCACCTCCCACCCAGGGACAAACTGATGCTCTGTGTCCCCAGGGCAGTCCAGCCCCTCGTACCCCCCCAGCCTGCCCTGTTGGGGCCTGGGGAGTCCTGGCCCCTGTGCAGCCCCAGCCAGCCCCCCACCTCGCTCCTGCCCCCCCATGCACCAAGCGGCTCTCTGTCCCCAGGAGTCCAAGACCGACCTGCGCCTCCTCTGCGTCTTCTGGAAGCCTGACAGCAGGCGCTGGGCCACCGACGGCTGCACCCTGCAGAAGTTGAACGCCACCATCACCCGCTGCCAGTGCAACCACCTGACCAGCTTCGCCGTGCTCATGGCCTTCTACGAGCTGGAGGTAGGCGCGGCCCTCGCTGGGGCCTCTGGTCTGGTCTGGTTCTGCTCTTCCCCTTAATCCTCCCCAGCAGAGCCGGGGGTCACTCCAGATCCCCCTGGAGTAAAGCCATTCCCCACTGCCTGGCGGGACCCTGGATCTCATCAGGACACAAGCAGCCACCCCCCAAAGGGCACAGGGAGACTCCCCAAGTAGCAGCGACCAATGTGCCTGGCCAGGATGTTGGGTAAGGGGGGCCCGGGCCGCGCCCCACAACAGCTCAGGAGCCTTCTGCCTGCAGCCCTTCCCCGCCCCCCATCGGGTGCACTTGCTGGGTGGGGTTTGGCTGTGGGGGCCAGAGCAGGGGGAGCAAGAGGGGAGTGTTGGAATTAATCCAGGGAGGGCGAGGGCCTGTTCTGCCTGTGTTGGAGCTGGGGGGAGAAGAGAAATCAGGTCCCCGCCCTCCCTGGATTAACTCCTGCTCCATTGAGAGCAGAACGTCCCGGCTCCATTTGGAAAGGGCCAGTGCTGAGAATCCATCCGGACCCTGGGGAAGCTGTCCCAGGGTTCATTTACCCACCCTGCCGATATCCAGTGTGACGGTCTCGCTTCCAGCCCTTTGGCTGTGAGACTGAAGAGCCCATGATCACAGTCCCTATAGACTGACCCAGTCACCCCTTCCCTGTCTCTGCTAATCCAACTGAGCTCCTGGAGTCTGTCACTACAGGGCAGGTTTGCGAATCCTTTCACCATCCTCACAGGCCTTACCAGTATTCATGAAATAATCTTGTTTATTATTACTGATCATTAGTACACAAGGAGACTTCAGACATTAGAACAGAAGCACATGCTTAAAGTGAAGCACCTGCTTTACCATGGTGCCGATTCAGAATTCTTTCCCACACCCCAGGCAGGAGCTCCTCAACCTCTTGGGTTCTTTTAGTAAAAGCCCGGTTTAAAGTGCCCACTTTCATTTTCTTTGACTTTGTCTCATTCCTCCCGGCTTGTTTCTCTGTTAACCCCTGGAACGCTCTGCTAACGAGATGACACACAACTAAAAAAACCAGCCCCGATTTGTTGATATATATATATATATTTATGTCTACACATATCTATCTATCTATCTATCTATATAAACAAGCTTTTTAACACTAGCAATAGTAATCTGTTGGGTACGTTTGTTTGGTTTTTGTTTCTTTTTACTAACCACTTTAATATGGAATTTTATGTTATTTCTTTTTATTCTTTTTTCGTTCCTTTATTTCTTTTTTTCCAATAAATCCAGGGTTTGGATTCTTCTTATTTTTAAAAATTATTCTTATTTTTTTCCTGCCTATTAAAAGAAATCAAATTAAGCAAAAGCTACACTCATGGTCTTTAACTCGATTTGTTATTGCCAGAAGGGGCGGGGATGCAATTGATTTTATATATATTTTAATTTGACCATCTCGGCCCTTTGTGGAGGTTTCTAGTTTAACATAATTACGAGGAACAGCAGGGAGAAAACGAGATTTTTCTAACGATCATTGGGGCTGTCAGAGGCAGCAGTAGGAAGCCAGTAAATTAACAAATTGATAATTGCTCAAGAGACAACAGCAAAAATAAATAAATAAATAAA